AGTATAATATGTGTGTGGGTAGAAGTGAATTATTTACTGCTTGCAAACCAATGATGGTAAGATGATGTCATGGGGTAGGACTGGATAAGTCTGACTTCTTCCTATTCCATTCAAGCATGTACTAGGTATATGCAAATTGATATTGGATTATGTGTAAAATTATGTGTGTTGTCATATCAACTGTTTTTACATGCTTGAAAGAATAAATCAAATCAAAATCAAAATGTTCAGGTTTTTCAGGACATTACGGCATGTATTCAACTTTTTTTTACAACTTTCATACTCTTTAAACTGTTCAGCATTTATTCTGAAAATTTTGCCCCATTCAAATTAATGGGGAAATTCTACTTCAGCATATTTTCAGCTATCAAAATGTTCAGCTCTTCAAGGACAGTCATGCTTCTATTCAGAAGTTTTCTAAACTTCATACCTTTGAAATATTGAGCTTTATTTTGAAAGTTTTGCCCCATTCAAATGAATAGGAAAAATTCTACTTCAGCATACTTTCAGCTATTTCAGCTATCAAAATGTTCAGTTCTTCAAAGATATTCATGCTTCAATTCATAATTTTTATAAACGTCATATTTGTGAAATATTTAGCTTTATTTTGAAACTTTTGCACCATTCAACTTAATGGTGAAATTCTGCTTCATACTTTCAGGTATTTCACGTATCAAAATGTTCAGCTCTTCAAGGATATTCATGCTTCTATTCAGAATTTTTCTAAACTTCATACTTTTAAAATATTTAGCTTTATTTTGAAACTTTACTTCATACTTTCAGGTATTTCACGTATCAAAATGTTCAGCTCTTCAAGCACATTCAGGCTTTTCATCAGAATTTTTCTTAACTTCATAATTTCAAAATATTTAGCTTTATTCTGAAAATCATGCCCCATTCAAATGAATGAGAAAGCTCTACTTCAGCATACTTTCAGCTAGCAAAACCATTCAGGTGTCAAAACGTTCAACATTTTCAGGGCGATCTTTCAGCAGTCAGCATCCATATGCATTTTCTTCAGAAAATGCAATTCTCTAGTTACTTATTATTCTTCCGTACATTTTTTGGCCCTTAACTACTTCAGCATGCTTTCAGCTGGATAAACCAAGTATCAAAATGTTCAGCTTTTTCAGGACATGCGCTGATCTATTCAGAATCATCCTAAGCTTCATATTTTTAAATATTCTGCATTATTCTGAAATATTTGCCCCATTCAGATGTATAGGGAAACTCAACTTCAGCATACTTTCAGCTATCAAAATGTTCAGCTCCTCAAGGACATTCATGCTTCTCTTCAGAATTTTTCTAAAATGGATGCTGACAAGCATCCATACTGTCATCCTATTTCTTTATAGTGTGGATGCTTACGCATCCACACAATGTTATCCTGTTCTTTATTATTCTGGTTTCTACCACTGTTCTTCGGCACCTAACTCCTTCCATATACTTTCATCTAGAAGGGCTATTGAGGTATCAAACTGTTTATCTCCTTAAGGACGTGTGCTTGTATACAACTTTTTTTATAACTTTTATACTTTTTAAGATATTCAGCTTTTTTTTTACAGAAATTTCCTCATTGGAAATGAATGGGGCAAAATTGGAAGCTTAATATCTCCGGCATACCTTGGGCTAGAAGCGCCATTTCAACTTATTCATCTCGTGAGACGTTCAGCTACCAATGGTGCAAAAATCATCTTTATCTTTTATGGGGTTTTTTTTTTATAATCGACATTTATATTTTGTCTATTTGTCCATAGACAACAAATGGGCCAATACTATACCATGCCATTGGCTGCCCGTGTGTCACGTGACTCCCCCGGTCTAGCAGCTCTCGCTTGCTTTTACTCTTCCTCTTGCCGCTTTTGTGCTCGTATTATGCCATTCTTAAGCTTTATACACATATAATATATGAAAGTGGTAGAGAAAATTGTCAGCAATTTGATTATGCCATTATTATTGCGATCGGATGTTGCTATACCCGTGAATTAGCGAAGTTAATCTACCTGAAGTATTTTCATGCTTCCTGTTGCATCAAAATAACATCCAGTTTTCAAAATAAAACCCGAAATACATATATAAACTTAAAATAAAGAGAAATATTGCTCAGAAATATAAATATTTCAATTATAGATGAAATTGTCATAAATGAATACATTCAATTACAGGTTAATATTTGAAGTAGTAGTTTATTTAGGTGGGGTCTCATTATTTTGTTCTCCGCAGCTACATGCATACGAGAAGATTACAATATTAGGAACGCCTCTAAATATTATACAGATCATGTGCACAGTTAGGACAATGTAAATCTTACTTTGCCATGAATGCCACACAGTACAAATGAAATATAAAGTAGATGAGTAAGTAACACAAGATCTAAAGCACTTTAAACAGCAAATGCAGAGATAATAA